ATAGGGCTTTGGTTGAAGGAGCCCCTCCGGAGTCTCCACACCCCCAGTGAGCGCAGTCGACTATGTATATATATGTGGATCGGGTTGCACGTCGCAACGAGTACTATATAGTGCTGAGTGATTGAATGTGCTAAGTATTGAGCATGGTAAGAGATAATGCGAGACAGAGAGGTCGACTACTCTGAGAGTCTAACTACATGAGTTCATCATTGAGAGGCGTTGCATTTGACATACGTACTTGAGATATATGCATAGAGATGCATTTTCCTTTTTCTGCCCCATTTTGGTGACATTCATGATTTTTACCTGTTTCTTGACATGTAGGCATGAACGGGATTAACCCCCGAACTCAGGAAAAAACTCATTTAGTTTCTTATTGATAATATGGATTGCATTTCTTGGTCCCATTTAGATATGACGGTGATTCTGCTGGAAATCACCACACATAGGCTAAGCATCAGTCCTAGTTTTAAACCGGTGAAACAAAAGGGAGGCCTTAGTCCGAAAAGCCTGATACCAACATCCACTTGACAGGATGCTCAAAGAACAAACAGGTAAAATAACGAAAGCCTATATTGATGATATGACTGGTTAAGTCCCTGTGCGCAGAGGACTATTTTAATTCATTTGCAGGAAACAGTCAACGTTTTGGGGCGATGCGACACGAAGCTCAACCCAGAGAAACATACCTTCGGGGTTAGCACGGGTAAGTTTCTCGGCTTCATGGTGTCAGATCGGGGCATCAAAATCATCCCCGACCAGGTTGAGGCTTTCGAAGATTTCACGATTGCGGATAGCAAGATAGGACCGCATTGAGCCCTCGGAGTCGTTGGTAAAGGATCTTACAAGCTCGGCATGACGGAAGCACTCAAAAGCGCATGGTCTCGAAGACATCCTTTTTACGCGAAGGCCTTAGGTTTTAAAGCATACGTTGCACTCTTTTTCCCTTGGCTCGGATTTTGTCCCAAATGGGTTTTACCGGCAAGGTTTTTAACGAAGCAACAACTATGTGCTGCCTAAGGAAAACTCAACAGTATCCAAGGTTTCTTTTTAATCAACCTCGAATACTGGAGGACATCACCCTCGGAGGTTATATTTTCAAGGAAAATACTTCATGTCTAAGAGAACATCGATAGGAGAACTTTGTAATGGGCCAAACGGTCAGAGGAACCATGTCCATATAGTAGTCAAACCCCGACAGCAAAGCATGTACGCATGTATCAATTTCTTTAATATCAAAAACACTTTGTGTCTCAAAGAAGTCTACTATTACACGAACTCTACAATCATAATCCTACGGGAAACGGCTCAAGGGCAAAAGCATAAAAGCGCCCCGAATACTCGAGGACTGTCATCGACAGTCAGTATATCCGAGTCATCGAATATTCGGACGTATAAGACCTCAAAGAGGCACCCCCCTGAAACAAAGGCCAAGGCCAATATGCTCGGGGGCTAACTTTTCGAACAAGTTCGGAAAGTGATCGGGAAACAAGTCCAAGTGATATACCCGAAGGCTACGGCCATACTAAAGACTACGGTCATATAAAGGCTACGGCCATACTAAAAACTACAGTCATACAAAGGCTACGGCCATACTAAAGACTACGGTCATATAAAGGCTACGACCATACTAAAGACTACGGTCATATAAAGGCTACGGCCAAAATAATGCGGCTCAGAGACGTACGACTTCCGCGATAAAGGCCTTCAAACATTAAAAAACCGGTTAAATTAGGCTACCCTCGGCAAAAGAAAAATATAGAGGGCTTCGATAAATTCAGCCCCCGAAAAATCTGAGGGCCTCGATAAATTCGGCACTCGAAAAACCCAAGGGCTTCGATAATGTAAGGCCCCGTGAAAATTTCTACTCAAAACCCGAAAGCTCGTAGTGCCAAGTTAGGTATATGTGTTAGAAATTTGTAAAATTCTTCGCAGCTCGCAAGCTCACCGTTGTTCGGACCCTTTGGACTGATTTATGCATTAAAAAGTTAAGGAATAATGTTTTCCAAAAAAGTGCCTTTATGCGGTCCATTATGCAGTCGTATAACAACTATGCGGACTGCATAGTCGCTGCAGAGTCAGACCGTTTGATGGTTAATTTTGAGGTCAACTATGCGGCCCATTATGCGATCGCATAATCAATATGCGGGCCGTATAGTCATCGCATAATCCCCTTGGAAGGGGTAGTTCTGCGGTGCATTATGCGACCGCAGAACAGGTATGCGGGCCGCATTCTTGTCCCATACCAGGGTAGTTTGTTCCGATTTTTGAAGCCATTTTTGCGGTCCTTTTTGCGGGCCGCATGTCCATTATGCGATCGCAGATTGTGTCGGGGCTCCTATTTTCTAACTTTTAAAACCCGACCCCATCCCATTAAAAATACCCCATTAGACCCCTTTTATGTTATCTTACTGCAAATAGAGTGAGAGAGGAAGATCTAGAGAGAGAGAGTGCGTGATCTTCATCAAGTCCCCACCCAATCCTTGCCTAAACCCTTGAAGAATTTCAAGTACAGCTGCTAGGCCTTCACCCCAAGAGGTAAGAACTTGAGCCCTAACCTTTGGTTTCGAAATTCACACTAGAATGAGAAATTAGCTTGTGGGTTCATGGGTATAAAAATGGATTTTCTTGCATGCATAAAAGATAATGGGGTATGGGGAGGTTGTGAACTTAAAAGATAGCAATTGGGGTTCAAGATGATGAAAATACTTCACAAAAGGGTCCTAAAATCACAATGCACACTTAGTGCTTGCTAATATGCTCAAATAAGCTAGAACCTTAATCATGTCTCTAATTCTTAGTTCAACTTGCAATTTTCATAAAATATATCGAGGTTCCTAGGAAATTTCAAAATTTATTGTAAGGATTTAAGGAAAGCTCTATTGAGGTATGTATGGCTAAAACCCTCTCCTCTTAGAAATTGAGCTTCCATGGTGTCCTTGCAAATGTTGTAAGTCCGAAATTTGATTGATGTAGTACTTGTTATGTCAAATGAATTGATGTTGTGAAAATGTATGTGGAAGGTGCTTCTCCATGTGTTTAATGTGCTATTCTTTGTAAAATTGAGGATGTGTGGAGAACATGAGCTATGTGCTAAATGCCTAAGTTTCAAGTCAAGGTTACATTGTGATTAATATGCCGAACTAGATGAATTCCTCTCTATGCTTATAACTTGAATTGCTTTTGTATGTGCCTATGATCTTAAATGTCAAGGTTAATGTTGAAAATGGGAATGATGTGAAACGTGAGTTATGGAATGCGGCCTAGTGCCAAGTATGATGTGGTAATTGTGGCCCCAAGTGTCGATGAACTAATACATGTGAAACCAAAAATTGAAGTGAGATGATTAACGGAAAAGGGTAACATCTTGGTGAGACGGCTTAGCCGATCAGGCCGTGATCGGACGCCATGTTACACACACATGGTGGAATTGTATTGATAATTGAAACTGGAAAGTGAGAATGAAATAAGGGTAACGTCTTGGTAAGACAGCTTAGCCGATCGGGCCGTGATCGGACTTCGCTTAAGAAAGCGGTGGTATTGTGAATGATGATGCAACAATATGGAATGCCCCAACCTAAAATTACGGAAACTATGTGGAAACTATGTGAAACTTTTATATTGCCAACGTGGTGATTGTTTGAAGCTTTGTAGTCCTTATGATTTCCTTTTTACTCTTGTATGGTTGTTCTTTCTAACAGGATGGTGTTTAGTTATACATACTAGTACTATTCCATGGTACTAACGTCCCTTTTGCCGGGGGCGCTACATTTTTGAATGAATGTAGGTGGCTCCATAGCGGACAGTGCCGATCGCGCGTAGCGGAGTATCTTCCTCTCAATGTCTTGGTGAGCCCCTTTCTCCTTCAATGGGTTATGTTGTACATCTTTTGTTATAGACTTCCACTTTTGAGGTATAGCCGGGGCATTGTTTCCGGCATTGTCATAATTGTCTTTTGTATCCTTAGAGGCTCCGTAGACATTTGTTTGGGTTATGTTTGGATGTCGGATGGGTCAATGTACTCTATAGTAGTTCTAAACTCTAGTTCTTCTAAACTGTAACTGTATGAAATCTTGAAAAATTAACCATGGTTTAAGGTTTGTGATATGAATACGGATTAACAATGTGAATGTTCGATTTTTGCTATTGTCTAAATAAACGAAAGCATGGTTTTCTTAATCGTATTGAGTCGGGTAGAAAGTGTTAAAAAGGCTTGCTCAGTTGGGTTCACTCGATTGAGCGTCGGTCGCGCCTCCCGAGGTTGGGGCGTGACAGATAACATCGGCCTTCGGAACTACTTCAAGAGGTATTTGATTATGTTTGCACAAATAAATTACTAATAAGGGTCTGATATGTCGAACCTTCGAAAAAACCTACGGGTACGAAAAACACATGCCAAAACATAACTAAAATTTCACTAAGTCTTTTAGCCAAAATGAGGGAAAAATTATATAGCCATTCTAAGAGGCCGAATCGGCCCGGCTTAAAGAGCCTAAGGGCCAATATATAAGAGCCCAAGGGCCAACTTAAAGAGCCTAAGGGTCAATATATAAGAGCCCAAGGGCCAACTTAAAGAGCCTAAGGGCCAATATATAAGAGCCCAAGGGCCAACTTAAAGAGCCTAAGGGCCAATATATAAGAGCCTAAGGGCCAACTTCGAAAGGCTTAAAGGCCAAAAACATATTGTGCGAGACTCCATTCTCAATCTACCAAGGCTCAAGGATCACGATATCTCGAGTTCACATTGGATCGATTTAAACTTGACTCGATGATTAATATACCTATCGATAAAGATCTAAGGGTTCATTCCCAAGCCCAAGCCAATTCTTGGACCAATCATTCAAGTTATGCAAAAGAAGTATTCCATAAATAAAGACAATATGAAACCCAGCACAAGTCAAAGATGAGATAGAAAGTTCCTCTTGTATTTCCCAAGGATGATTACAAGGAATATTTACACAAAGGATACTTGCACAAAAACAAAATAAGGAAACCTAAGACTACTTCGGAGTTACATCTTCGGCAGTCGCATCTTCGAGAGCCTCATCCTCGAGGACTCCATCTTCATCTCCCCCACTCTTGGAGCCACTGGCAGAATCATCTTCATCGGAAAGCAGAGCGGCAACTTCTTCTTTTAAAATCCTCGCCCTTTCGATATCGGCAGAGAGAATGAAGCCGCGAGCATGTACCTCCCCGAGGGTTACCCTTCGGGATTGTCGCCTAGCGTGATCAAGTGCACTTGATAACTTAACTTCTGCTGCAGAAGAAAACTCCTTGGCTCGAGCATTAGCTGCTTCAGCATCGGCTCGGTACGAAGATATAATTGCCTCAATGTCAGATCTGGCCTTGGCCAACTCGGCAGCAGATTTAGCTTTAAGCTCCCCGATTTTGCAGTCGCGAGCTAAGCTCTCCTCCTTTACACTTTGAAATTGACGTTAGAGTGAAGCCAGCTGCTCTCGAAGAGTTTCCTTCTTAGAAGCGAGATTGTCCATACCTTGCCTCCACCCTAGGGTCTCGGCCTCTTTCATCTTAAGCTCCTCCCGAAGCTGCGCCACCAAGTCGGCCTCCTGGAAAACTACGGAATTAGAAGTATTAGTCGTCAAAACAATCAAGTACATAGCAGATCCTCAGAGGCTATATTACCTTCTCGACATACTTGACCCGTCCCTGGCAAGCCTGTGCCAATTCAACTCGTAAACCATTGATCTCCATCTCTTTCTTAACATAGAGGGCCTTAAGATCGTCCCTCTCTTTCGAAACCTTTTTATGCTCAGCCTCACATCGAGCAAGATCAGTTTGAGATTTGGAAAATGCCTTTTTGTGGAGCACCACGGCCTTTATAAAAAAGGAGGAAAGAGGGATTCAGAATAGCAAAAACATAGGCGCAGGCATAACAAACAGAAAACTCACTTGTTTAAAAAGTCTACGAGCCTCATCAAAAATGAAAGAAGCATCCGGGTCGGGGCCATCTTCAAGCCCTACAAGTCATCTCGAAAGATGTCATGTCCTTCATGTCTTGCTTCCACTTCAGAAGACCTCATATTCAGAGCGTCTCGGATTTGCCCCTCGGAGAACTCAGGGCCAGGAGGTGAATCATCTACATTGATTACCCCAAATGATACACTTGGGACGTTCTCTTTATTTTGAAGAGGCTCGGGACTGGGCCGTTCGGCCTCACCCTCCAAGTGGCCTCCTAGACGAGGTGCATTTTTTCTGCAAACTCCCATCGGAGATTTTTTCGACTCTGGAATGAGCTATAACGACCTTCACCGGCTCAACAGACTTCGAAGCACCGGCATTTTTTCTTTTATGAGCTACCAACAGGTAGTCGTTATCTTCTTCTTCCTCCTGATCTCGAAGGCGTTGGGCCGTTTCCGGAGATAAGGCCGCCGTATCGACCTTGGACCGTTGATCCACGCTCTTCTTAGGCTTCGGGGGATTTACGGGTGACTCCCTTTTTCTCTTTCTTTCTTTAGAAGACTTCAGAACCTCTTCTTCATCATCCGAAGCTGGCCGCATAGCAACGGCATCTCCAAGACCTATACAAAATCGAAATAAATATACCATAAAGAGAAGTACAAGTAAACAAACAAGGGAGCTCACCATGGTTTTTGGCCTCCCAACGACCTTTGGCCAAATCACGCCAGCAACGCTCCAAATAAGAGGAAATGGAAGCCGGCTTTCGGACCCAGCCTTCAAGGTCAAGGACCCCACCAGGAAACCAAGCGATGGCTGTGCCATTGGAAAGGGGTTAGATCAAAGAGAAGGATAAAAATGAGAAAAAGAAAAGAAAGCATGGTATAAACCTGCTATGTACTTACGCTTCATGTTCCACTCTTTGGGGAATGGTATCCAAACAGCAGTAATTAGGTCAGAGGTCCTAACTCGGACAAATCGGCTCATCCACCCTTGGTCTTTGTCCTCGTCGATGCTACAGAAGAGAGATTTCGTGGATTGGCATTGCAATTTTATTAGGCCACCACGATAAAGTCGAGGACTGTACAGTCTGATCAGATGGTCGAGGGTAAAAGACATCCCCTCGACCTGGTTCAAAAAGAACCTGATCAGGTAAACGATTTGCCAGAATTAAGGGTAGATCTGACCAAGCGTCACTCTGTATCGTTGGCAAAAGTAAAGGATAACTGGATCTATGGGACCCTGAGCCGGAATTACAGGACCCAGCGTGAATGGATAGGTATATACGCTCAAGTACCCCTCTTTATATATAGTAATGTCCTCCTCGGAGGAAGGAATCATTACATCCTTTTTCTCCCACTTGCAGTCCTCCCTTACTTGTGCAAGCTCGTCCTTGGTTATCAAACAAGCGTACCGAGACATGGGTCACAACGGCCTGGTGTCGACACAGGTTTCTCGATTTTGAAATCGGATGTTATTTCACACGGTGGGGGGATGCACTCCTCAATACGAGGGGGCACCACCGGTTTTCCCTTGGTCGGCCAAGAAGATGAAGAAGCCCTTTCTTTTTGGGGAACAGGATTAGAGGTTTTAGCCATCGCGATACGGAAATTCAAGAAAATGGAGAATGTTGATAGGAAAATAGAAGAAAAGGAAGAATTCAGGGAAATTGAAAGAGTTAACGAGACTTTGAGAACAATATGAGAGTAAAGTTTGCAAAGGTGTGAAGTTTATCTATTTATAGGGGTCATGTAACCGTACTTTGGAAGCCAAAAGGCCGACCGTCAGCCGCCTCCAATTAATGACTTTGGGAACCGCACAAAAAGTAACTTTTCATCACTTCAGCCGCTGATGTCACAGGATTGGCATCAGGATTGAGGCGTCAAAGATTAATCCGTTTTTATCAACCTATTTCGAGTTTGGGCAAGTGCTAGCTCGGCTACTGAGCCCACGGGCTGCCCGATTTTGAGAAAATTCTCACTCGGGGACTGTCTACAAAGCCTAAGGGCTAACTTTAAGTCAAATTCGAAACCTTGCTCTCACTCAGCTCGAACTCAAGCATCGGTGTCTCGATCTCGATCAAATCAACTTAAGACTGGCTCGAGGGTTAACAAAAACTTTAAGGGGTGTTATATTGATCGACTAAAACTCAAGGGTGTATTATGTTCTGAATCCAGTGATCGAGCCAGTCGCCAAAGTTATGCCATTGAATTTTTTCGCGGATAAAGATGGAATGAAAAATGCAACACGAGCCAAAGGTAAGACAAAGATATCCTTTTACATTTACAAGAGAGGGTTACAAAATATAACTACAATATCCATGAAGTGTATTCACGCAGGAACAAAGAAACAAGAAAAAAAGGCCAACAACCTAATCTACTCTTAAGGCCGCGTCCTCGAGAGCACCATCTTCGGGAAACCTCCTCCCCGGGGACTCCACTTCTGATCTTTGAAAAATGACTATACGCCCGAAGAGATTTAGGGCAGAAACCCCTCGATGAATATAACTATATTACCATCAACAGGGATTGAGCATTCCGTTGAGATTTTGGGACATAATCCGCTAAAAAAGGAGCAGCAAAAGAAAAGACCAGAGGATGTAGATTCATCTTCTATCACAAGAAAAATCAAAAGGGTTACAAGATGCACAAGCAATGATCCAAGAATTTTTATCCTTAGGACATTGTTCCGGGGTGGGATGCAAAAGTTAGAAGACGACAGTGCCACCTCATTCCATGGAGAGCAAAGGGAATGAAGTGATACACCAGGTTGAAGTTAAGAGAGATGAGCAGTAGTGAAAAGTTTGCGCCTTTTCTAATGCGAGAAGGAGTCGGCGTCCTTCTCGTGTCGTTTCAAATCGAAGCTTTGAGAAAGAGAATCTTGGCATAACTAGTAAAATTGCTGCCATGTGACCTTGTGTTCACAGGTTCGAACCATGAAAATAGACGATTAAAGAAGGAAGCAAAGAAGGGAAAAGATCAAAAGTAGATAAAGATGAGTAAAGTACAGTTCTTAGTTTAACAGAATAGCATCTTATTTATAGGAAGGCGGTGATGGATCGGCGGCGCTAGTGGCCAACCAACACTGACACACATTTCATGCTTTGGGGAAGAGCGCCGACGTGAAATCTCCGGTCATTTCAAGCGCCTATGTCACGAGCGTGACATCATCATGAGAAGCTCGGGGAGGCCGAGATCAAAAACGTTTCTTATCATCTTATTCTAAGAAATGTGAGGACTATCTGTACGCGATCGCGATCGAATGCCTTTGATCTATATGCTTGAGAGGCCGTCCGATGTCCGAGTCCGGGTAAGGCCAGGTTCGAGCTCAAGGAACCGGACCCGAGTTCGAAGGCGAAGCATGATGCATACCGAGGTCGGGCATGTTCTACCCCGAAATAGTACCGTTATGGATTTGTACCAGAACGAGCTAGATTTTTGCCACGTCCCCAGAATCATGGCGCAAATTATGGAGTAGGATCGTACAATTACGTACGAGACGGTTAGATAGCTGTAATAAGAATATTCCCTACTATAAATGGAAATATTCCTTATTTAGGGTTCCCCCATTATATAAAGGGGACCCCAATCATTTGTAAACCATCTTTTACTGAGCAATGAATATACTCTCTACCTTTTTGCCTGATGTTCATCAGAATTGTCCCTTAGCTTGATTATTCTTACTTTGATTTTCTTACCTCATTGTTCTTACTGCCTTAAGCCACCTCGAGGTCACCTGGAGGTCACTGCTGATAACTAACATTGGTTTGATTCACTTCTATCTTTCATTTTTACTTCGTATTTCTTGATTATTAATTGGTATTGGATTAAATCACATATCTTTAAAACCACAAATCAAGTTTAGTTGTTACTCGTATTTTTCGAGGTAAACATTCTTGTTGCTGCCTTCGGAGGCCTTGCTCCCGGAATCTGCTATTATCTCGATTTCAACGCTAAGTCTTATATTTTATTTAATTTATTTATCATTTTAGGATTCAATCAGTTCGATTGTCTATAAAGCACGCAATAAATTCAAATGTACCGTTTTACGAGTAAACGGTAAGAATTCTTCAAAAGCCAGCGCTACCAAAGTGCTTAAGATTCAATTACGATAATACCCTTCTGATTTGACATGTAACTGGATGAGCTATCTTGTGTCAACTAATAGAAATATTTTATCCTGATGCAATTGCAAAAATATCCTTATTGACCCGAATTTGCACATCTCAGCATAACCGGATGCACTTCTCACTCCCACTTATTAATATTACTAGTGAGGTTATGCCCGGGCTAAGCACGGGTCCAACAGCTATGTGAGTAATTTGTGCCTAAATTTATATCTTTATTTAATTATTTTTCTGCTGCTTCTTAATGACAATATCATTCCGATACCACCTAGAAACTTTTTAAGCGATTTAAAAGGACCTCAGAATTAGCTATATTCATCAAATAGTGTGAGGCAACTTAAGTGATGACACATATTTAGTTCAACTCTCCGATAATCCTCTATGTTATCTGATTTTTAAATGTGTGCTAAGATAATTTCTCATATATATTTTTGTCCCATGTCCCACGGATTTCCACTTAATGTAAAGTAATTTTTTATCAAATACATGTTATAACAAAAGTTATAATTAAATTAAGCTTGCAATAAAATGGAATGGATACCTCTTGAATTTGAGATTTTGTTTCTACTGAGGGGCAGAAATCATGCGTAATAGGCACTGAGCAGCTTTTGAGCATGTCTTTTAACTTATGGTGTGTCTATGATATGCGTTTCTCTCTCTTAGATTATTTTTAGATGGTCACTTTCTCTTTTTCTATTGTATGACCAGCAAGTGTCGAAGTTTTGATAATTTTGGTAATTCATGAGTGTTCTTTTAACATCCTTTTGTACTGATTTTGTCATGAATATTTTTCGGCTATCCAATGTCTTGTAATTCCTAGGGCGGCCATAGAGTTCCTTTTTAGCTATTTATTATTATCGACCCCTCGTATTGCTCTTTCTTAAATAATACAAAATTGAAAATAATTTAATTTTTATATTTTATATTACATTTAAATTAATGGATGACTTTTGTATTTCAAATTTACCTGTAGCTACAACATTGAAGGTGGCAATATAACATCAAAATTAAAAAACTTAGAAAACTATGAAATATAAAGTATAATTATCTGTAACGAATATGTTATCACGGAGTAATTGTTTTGGCACTTTCACGATACGTCTTCCAACTCATCTTTTATCCTCATAGTAAGCGTAAACCTTTTTTTGGTCTTATTTAAACAAATAATGTTCGCATTCTTCATATTTTACATGTATCTCGACCTGATTAAAAACTTTTCAATCCTAAGTCATCGAATAACCTATATTTTTCTATTTCCTTTCTAACACTATTAACATGCTAATTTGATTAGTTTACTTTATTTATATAAATATTAGTAGTACCTTCTTGTAAAAGTATATTGATCTTCCTTTTTCTTTTTAAGATTTTCGACTCCAACCTGTATTCTAAGAATATAGGTTTTGTAGCAATTCGTTTGTCCTTTTTTTATGTAAGTTATTTTCCTACGTGTATGTGGCCCAATAAAATTAGGCCCATAATTAATATTTAATTAATGAGCAAATCTCATCCGTCCGATCGGTTACTTGATGGACGTACCGGATTAATAAGAACCTCTATAAATTGGTCCTCTCCCCACCCATTAGGGTTACCGTATTTTTATTCTCTCTTCCATCACTAAAGTCGGCGGTAACAAAAACTAGGGCAAGGGGCGAGAAACCAATTTACCGATTAACGCTTCCGCTTCAAGATAATGGATTCCGCTTCAGGTATGTTTTCTATGACGATTATATGTAAGATTATCATGTTCAAGATCCTGGCAGAATTATAGTTTACGCTTACATGTGGTATCAGAGCCTGGGATTTGAATTAATATTCTTCGCAAGAGAATATAAAGTTATACATACGTACTTATGGATTACGG